GCTAAACATTATGTCTGTTGTCACTTTGATAAGTATTTCCACGTTTGTTATTAGTGGCATCTTTTTTTGAAGTGTCAAATCTTGTGACTATTTAAAATAAAATACCATTGTAATTTAAAGTGAAAAAAATAAAATAAAATAAAATAAAATAAAATAAAATAAAATGGTGTAAAATTCAAATTTTCCCCAATTGTCCCTCCAAAATCCTATGTAGCTGTTTTGTTCTTGCTGTTTGTGTGGGAGAGTGGTTACCTAGACTTCTCCACATACGTGACATTTCAGGAAAACACCGAATGTGGAGAGAGAGATGGTTAGGTGAGGATGTGTGTACATGCGCCTGCTCGGCCTGGGGAAGGGCAGGAAGGCCCAGATAGAAGCACAGGCGGCCGATTCTCATACGGATTTACAGGCTCCCGTCCGGTGCAAGCACACTGCCGGACACTTCTCACCAAACCCCGCTAGCCCTGGACCTGTGCTGAATTCCAACAGTCATAAATCTGAAAACGTGAAGACTTCACACAGAGGCTTTCCCGTCAACCAGCTATTTACTTTAGGGCATCCAGGTGTGTTCAGGACATTCTAGGATTTTTTTCTTCTTCCTTCCTTCCTCCCTTCCTCCCTCCCTCCCTTCCTCCCTTCCCTCCCTCCCTCCCTCCCTTCCTCTCTCTTTCTTTCTTTTTTTGAGAGAGAGAGGTGCAATGAGCCATGGGGAGAGAATCCTGGGGGGTAGAGACAGAAAGAGAGAGAGAGAGACAGAGACAGAGAGACAGGGAGAGAAGCAGAGCTCGTCCGAAGCAAGGCTTGAGCTCACCTGATGTGAGACTCAAACTCACAAACCATGAGATCATGACCTGAGCTGAAGTCAGATGCTTAACAACTGAGTCATCCAGGTGCCCCCAGGAAATCCTATAATATTTTCTTATTTTTCATCTTATTATTTTGTATAAGCAAAGGGCAAATGAAATATAAGTGTTCTGAGACTAGCGTTAAGATGTTTAAGCACTGCAAGTTTAATGCAGTTCATACTAGAATTGACATTATTATTAATGTCAAAAGAGGTAAATCTTAGGACAAACAACGTTGTGTTCAATTGAGAAGGAAAGGACAAAAATTGAAGGTCATATACAAAGTTCCGGAAATATGTAACATAAGACTCCTAAAAGGGTGAGGGGCAGTTAAAAATTACATACTAAATATTAGCTCTTTCAGAACAAAATACCTTCCAAAAGAGTTTACTGTATGATTTTTTAAGTCAGTCGGTCAGTTATTTAGTTAGCTGGTTAGTTAATTAGTTTATTTATTTGTTTGTTTGTTTATAAAAAGAGATAACATGCATGAGAGAGGGAGGGGGAGAGGGAGAGAAGGAGGAGGAGAGGGAGAGAGGAAGAGAGAGAGAATCCCAAGCAGGCTTTGCTGCTGTCAGCGCAAAGCCTGACATGGGACTCAAACTCACAAACCCGTGAGATCCTAACCTCAGCTGAAACCAAGAGCCAGACAACTGACTCAGCCACGCAGGCGTTCCCTATACGATTTTTTAAAACATTACGATTTTTTACACATTTCTCATATTGGATTCGGATAATTAATGCTAACTGCCACAGCAGGCAAATCCTGAAATCTCAGCTTACACAACAAAATTTTATTTCTTGCCTGTGTAAAATCTGGTAAGATGGGGCATCTCTCCTTACAGCCTCACCATCTGGCACCTGTAACCTCCCAAGGGGCCTTGAATGCCCGGAAGAGAAGGATGGAAGAAGACGCTGACTATTCCTTGCTTCTCCCCCGGGGACTAGTGTCATCACTTCTGTTGACACTTCGAAGTTGCCAACCTGCCTCACCACTGGGCAACGTAAGGGAGTACTTGGAATAACTGGCGAGAGTCAGTGGTCTCCCCGCAGGTATTAAATGGGAGAGTAGGAAGCTCAATAATGGAGTCTTCAGGGACATCTCGGTGGTGGCCGTGGCACTACGCGCGGTGTTTACAGCAGGAGAAGCGAAGGAGTTAAAACTCGTTGTTTTCTCCTAGCGCTCTCATCCAGAAAGCTTCCTGTCCTCTTTCCTCTTGGCCTCAGGTTTCCTCTCGAAACTTCTGAAGACCAAGTCCTTCCTAGGTGGGGGCCCAGGTGAAAGCGGCCTGATGTTACCTCTTCAGTTAAATTCTGGTTTAGGCCAGAAGAGACAAAGAGGGTGTTCACGGTTCACAGTCTGGCTCTTGCAGATTTGGGACTTGGTAGGTGTTCGGGATCAAAACAATGGGTATTAATAAGTCAAGGGTTTATCTAGATTATTCTAGATTAATCCAGATGCCCTTGGATTCCAGCATCAACCATCACAGCCTGCTGCTGTGGTTAAAGACAAGAATTAAAGACAAGAATTCAAATTATGTGAGGAGCTAAATTCAGAAACACAATTGCAGCTTCAAAGGACAATGGCTTTGGAGGTTTAGTCTGGTACCTGGCAGCCCGAAGGATGTTCTCTCTCGGCTGGACTAGCTCTGGGCAGTCCGGCAGACCAATCAGTCACCATGCCAGCCCCCTTCCCTGTGGCTCCTGAGGGAAAGCAGGAGGCTGAACAGCCTGCTGTACTCTAAATCCTTTCTCCTAGGATCACTTGAGGGTCTAGGATATCTGTCCGTTTCTCATTCACGACTGTTAGGGGAATAGGCTGCCCAGAAATTCTGACTGCTCACGTTTGCTTCTGTGGCACTTGAGGAACACATGACTGAGGTATGATAGGGAAGAGACAAAGGTTTGGAGCCACAGAGACCTAAATTAGCAGAGATATTTAATACTCATAAACACCCATATACATCCCACCAGCCTGCCTGTCTCCCCAGTGATTCCTTAACCATCCTGCTGTTGAGCAGAACCATGGGACTCATCAATGAGCAATGACTGTGAGTGTTTCATGCTCCTCTTTTCCTCTGCTTTATGGGCCTGGAATCTAGGTCTTCCAGATGCTAGAATCTTCCCTGTTGGCCTGGGTCCTTGAGTACTGTTGGGGCAGAGCCTCCCCTAAACTTCTGAGTCAGGGATGTAAGGTGAGAAAAAAAACCAATGTTTCGAGGGCACTAAACTATTAAATTCAGTGTTTTATTCCTGTTTTCTGGTGTAACCTAACCAATTATGCCTAAGGCAGGATTTACAACCTCATCTGGTCTCTGCAATTTGATACTGTTGGCTCCCATTTTCTCATCTGTAAAGTGGGGATAATAATCCCTCCTGCAGAGTCTGGTAATTTTTTCTGTTCTGCATCTATTTGGGGGGTCAATTCTCTTTCTCCTCTAACTCCATGAGATTCTTGTGGTGGTTCTTGTCAATGTAGGGACTCACCTTCCCTCCCACGGGCCAGCCAATCAGAGAGCCACATCCTTATGGACACTGACTGGGCCAAGGGATGGGTAAGAGACCCCAACCTGGCTAATCACAGTCTACTTTCTAGACTGGAATGGATGCTGCAAGACAGGCTCTGTTTCCACATAGTCCTGGAGCTGTGAGATGCCATCTTTTCCCCCTCAGACAAGAAAGCAGCACCTGAGGATACTGGGAGAGCCCCAAGCTCCATCCAGCCCTGGATGCACCATCTCATAAGTCTCTCTCTCTCTTTCCTTAGGGTAGTTTGAGTTGGGGTTTAGGCACTTGCAACCAAAAGAGTCTTGACTAACCTTGATCTACCTCAGAGACTTACTGTAAAAATTAAACAAAATAATTCATTAAAGTGCCTGCCATATCACAAGCGCTCTAAACACGATGCTGTTATGACTGAGGCTGGTTGCTAGGGGTTCTAGCTTATTCCTTATTCTCAATCTTTTACGAAGTTTTAAGATTTGACGAGCTCATGAACTGAAACCACATGATTCTGGGCTCATGGGATTTTTTCCACTGGGTTGCACATTCTTGCTGTGTCCCTTGTTGACTTTGAGGGACATCCTAGGAAGCAGCTACTTGAAACCCTTTATTGCATATGCTATTGGGAGGGACATTGTCTACTGCTTCACTCAGGGTTCCATCTAGAAATATACATTAAGAAATTTTTCTCAGACTTACGTGGGAAGGAAAATTTGACTTCCCCAAAGTGGTACGTCTCCAACTTTTTCACCCTCATCATCAGAAAAGACTGAACTCATACTTCCACGGGTTGGAGACACAGCCCTGAGCACGGGGAGTACAATTTCTTCTGTTTATGTTAAAAATTCATGTGACTTTTGTATTCTTCTCCACTAGACATCCATGTTTCGTTTTATGGATGTTGTAAATCTGCATCAGGTCTCTTTGACTGCCTCCATGGTTGACATGAAATCTGTAATTCCTCTTCAGTAATGATGGCCGGAGTACAGAGACGACAACCTACATCCTTGTCTCCGTATCCTAATTGCTCTACAATTTCTCTGATCCCGATTGTAGTTTATTTATAGCTTTCTACTTTATGGTATATTTTCTTGTGAATTGCTTCAACTACTTTGTGGAAGCAAATGGGTTATGAATAAGTAAAAGCATTCACATAAACATTAAAAAAAAAGAACTGAGAAGCTTGAAATGATACCATATGAGGACACAGGATGTGTACTTGGTTTCCTACTAATAGGCATCTTACCCCCCAACCTGAGCTGAATTGAACACAAGGAAAGCGTTTAAAATTTTAACAGAAACAGCATGAAAAAGGCATAGCTAATATTCTTGTTATCCACAGAAAATCAAAAGTCCTAATTTGAAGAAAATACATTAATACTGATTTTGGAAGATAAATGCTGGAATCAGCACTGGAAAGACTGGGTCCATTTGCTTCCTTTTTAACCAAGGGCAATAATGAAAAATATTTTTGTTAACAGAACTACTCATTATACTTTCGCCTTCACACATTGGGACAGAAACTGGGCAGTAGCAATACCTTTACTATGTACATCCAGAACTGAGTTAGCTGGTCTTTTGGACATGCTTGGAAGCACTGAGAAGCTTGAAAACACAAAATGAGGGCTATGGATCTAATGCCCCTTTACTTACCTGTCTCCCCTTCTGAGCAACATTCTCCAAGTAAGGCTGGAGCTCCTACAACAGGATGAGGTTCAGAAGATCCTTGAACCTACTGAGAATGAATGTAAATATTAGTGTGATCTATACATTTTTTTTTTATGGGAGACCATCCATAGCTCTCAGTAGATTTTTGTAAACACTTATGATCTTAAGAGGTCAAGGACCAGTGGTGCTGGTCAAGGCTAATGGATTGTCTAGCATGGTGCCTTGTGTGTAGTATGGGCTCAATAAATATGTGTGACTCCTAAGAGCATAGATTCTGTGCTTCCCAGTCAGAAAGAGCTAAATGAGCCATAGGACCAGGTCTAAGAATTTAATCCCTTTAAATTTTAATTTCTTCACTGTTCACTTAAAAGGGAATAATACCTTACAGAATGTGGTAAGGGTTAAATGAGGTAAAATAAAGAATTCCTGACCCACAGGGAGCACTCAGTCAGTATAGCTGTTGTCAGTTAAACTGTCTTTCAGACAGAATTATCACATACTCATCAGGACCGGTTCTCGTTGTAACAATTTTTGTTTTTCAAAATAAAATAAAACAAAGTAAATAAAAACCTAAACAGTTATTCGAATGATTTTGGAATGTAACAGAGACAAATACAAAGTACAAATCAAGGCAGGGATTTACCTGTCTCGTCCAGGAGTGGAGACGACATCAACCTGACCTACGGAGACTCAGGCTTTTGTCGGAACCTCTTGTGATCGCTCCCTCCTTCCCGCTTCCTATCGCCATCATCGACTATGTGCACACGCACGCAGGCACGCGCTCACGCACGCAGGCACGCGCTCACGCACGCAGGCACGCGCCTGCATGCGCGCGCGCACGCAGGCACGCGCCTGCATGCGCGCGCGCGCACGTTCACGTACATGAACTTTCGGAACTCCTGAAAGTTAGCGGGAATCTTTCCGAATCCGTCTTTAAAATATAGTTCTGAATTCAGTCGCGAACTCCCCTAATTTAATTTCTGATAGGGCGTCGTTAAAGGAAGAATACCTTACTCTTTTTTGCAAAGTCTTTGAAGGACTTCTTTTTTTTAGTTCTCATTGTGTGTAAAAATCATTTTAAAGATTTTCTTTGTTGCTTAACCAATCAAAATCAATACCTTTTCGTGTTGGTGAAGTTGCCAACTGTGAGCCTGTGTGCTTTGCGTAGTTGCTCGAACTGTATTCCAAGGTTTGTTTGCTTTGAAAATCTTGCATAATGCTTGTGAGACAAAACTATGTAAAAGTAAATGTCTTTTTAAAAAATAGTTTTTAAGTGTTTATTTATATTAGAGAGAGAGAGAGAGAGAGAAAATGTGCAAGTGGGGGAGGGGCAGAGGGAGCCGGAGACAGGCTCTGAAGCAGCTCCAGATTCACCTTGGGGCTCAGGCTCACCAGCTGTGAGATCATGACCTGAGTTGAAGTCAGATGCTTAACAGACTAAGCCACCCAGGTGCCCCAAAAATAGTTTTTAAATTTTTATTTTTAAGTATTCACTACACCCACTGTAGGGCTGGAACTCACAGTCCTGAGATCAAGAGTCACAAGCCCTAATGACTGAGCCAGCCGGGTGTCCCTATTAAAAAAATATTTTTCAATCTTAAGAAGAAAAGTAAACTACAGTGGACTGAAGCGTCTTGAGTTTTAAAAGTATGCTTCTTTTTAAAAGCAAAGTTGGAGTTGAAGTGGGACAAAGTTGTAGTTGAGGTTAAAATTTTGTGGTGTAAGATATTGGCGTCCATCTATTCCAAACCCCTAATATTCCAAAAAAAGAATAATAAAATCCAGTGGTATATGAGCCTTGGTCCAAGTCATACTACTGTTTTCCCTTCTCCCAGCCATGGGTGATAGCAGGGCTAGAATATGATAGGCTCACAGTGCTGCTTTACAATTATTTTTATTAATACATATTAGCAAGTTTTATTTTAGCCCACTTTCTGGCCACCCCATCACTCTTGAGAGCTTATCCTTTGTACCATTTATTTTCTGAGGGCCTTTGCACTCACCTGGTTGAAATAACATATTGCTGTCAAGCTAATGATTGGCATAGACCTAGTCTATTGGCATAGACGTTTGGCGTTCCAGAAGTGCTTGATGTGTGGGTTGTTAGTATTCTCTGGGGAAACTGTTGGTGCTTGAATGGATTTGGAAAGTACTGCACTGAACAAATGTATATGATTATTTCCTGCAAGACTTCTCAGAGCCTTTAATATGCTAATGTGTATCATGTGTCTCTAGGAGTGGGGTAAATAACATAAATCATGGTTTCAGAGCTTACATGACTGTGGAACTTTCCATCTTTCCCCAGACCCAGCATCTGAGAATGAGTGGGGGTTTAAGTTATCCTTCCAGAGATATTTGCATTTTAATAAGGGATTCTTAAAGAAGAAATTATATGTTGAGCTCCTTATTTCTCTTAGGAGGTACAATATTTAAGGGGAGGAAAAAAAATGTCATTTATGTCTGAGTCATCAACACTTAGCCCAGTACCATGCACAGTTCCTGGCACATAGGACGAATAGCATCCACACTTGTTAAATGAATAAACAGACTTACTTTCTGGAATAAGAATTTGAGCCATCAATGGAAACTGCATTAACCTTCCATTGCCCTTCATTTTTTAAAATCTAGTCTACAATTCTGGGGCAAGACTTATTTTTAAAAACTGATAAAGACGGGCTCGCCTGGGTGGCTCAGTTGGTTAAGTGTCTGACTTCAGCTCAGGTCATGATCTTGCGGTTTGTGTGTTCGAGCCCCACATCAGGCTCTGTGCTGACAGCTAGCTCAGAGCCTGGAGCCTGTTTCGGATTCTGTATCTCCCTCTCTCTCTCTCTGACCCTACCCTGTTCATGCTGTCTCTCTCTCTCTCTCTCTCTCTCCCCCATAAAATAAATAAATAAATAATAAATAAAGAAAATTATTAAGGAAACATATTGTATTGTCACATTTTCCCCTCCCTTTCTCACTTAAAAAAAAAAATCTAATACTAGCTTTTGTGAGGCAGAATCAGTGCTGTTGGTAGAGAAAAGCAGAGCTGGAGAGGCACACGTGGGAAAATTGCATGGGCAAGGGCTGAGATTTACAAGAGATGTATAGAGTAGAAGGAAGAGGGTGTAGATGGAGGACAGAACCAGAAAAGTCTGGTGGCTGGGAGAGTTCTTGATTGGGAGTTGAAAGTGACAGAGAGAGAAAGATTTGGAGTAAGGAACAGAAGCAGCTGCCTTTGGATCATAACCTTCCCATAGATGGGAAGAAGGACTTTTCGGATATTTCCTGTGTAACACATACCCATACCAACACCCACACACTCCATTTTGGAAGTTTCATGAAGGACCAAGTAAAATATGGAAATTTTTTTTTAGATGTATTGGTGTTCCCTTCTTGGAACTGTCAGCAGAAATGGGGCAATGGGGGAGGTGGAGAGTGCCTAATAATATTCAGATTCCACCACCAAAAGACATAGATGCAAGTGAAAAACAGGACCCCAGCAAGTTTTCTGTTTCTCATGGGAATGGGGGCATGTGCATTTGTGAAAAAACTGTACGCAGTTCTCATTATCCACTTCCACCTTACACCTCCCCAGTGCCATACAAAAACAAGAATGTGGTTGTCTTTCTTAAAGCTTATTTTTAGTTGATTTTTCAATGTACATACAAAATCAGGAAAGCTATTTTTCAGTTACCTAGGTGCCATAAAAACAGATATATGTAAGGGGAATGCATTAATAACCCTTGTGATTTCATAATCACCATAAGAAACTGCATCAGCCAGAGACAGCTTTCTCTGGTACAAAATACCTAGCACTGAGGTATACATTTACTTGGTCTCACAGAGGGATTTTATAAGATTCCGAATAATCTTGGGTCAATAAATAATTTTGGTGGTCTCAACTGAGCTTCTCATGACATCATTGTACTTGATCCAAATACGGCCACCATGTTTGCCCAGGCAGGTAGAAGCTCCCAAAACACTGAGATAGCAGGGAAACTTTTCTTTGTCTGGCAAAATAGTAGGAGAATCTGCCTATGCCTGGCTGGGGCATCCTAAAGCTGCCTAAGTGATCTGCTACCTAAAGATTTCAACTACCTCAGAAAAGACACCTGACTCTAGTCTTTATTACTTTGAGTTAACTTGCTTATTGGAGCATTAGCAGGGCTTGCTGGGCTTGGTAGGAAGAAGGAAAATAAGCTGAGAAGAACATGACGCCAAGTTTAATTCACTTAAACCTAACCTCTGTTGAGCACCAAGATATGGGGATACAAATACCAAGAAGATGAATGCCTTACCTTCCAGAGAGAAAAAGAAAGAAGGAGAAGTATAAAATGTGTTGGAAAAGAGAGACTGAGATGCGACTGAAAAGGGAAAGTGAAGGAGATGAGACGGAGAGGAGGGTAAAGCAGAGAAAAGAAGCAAGAGAACTACATGGAAAGGGGGCAGTAAGTTAAAGGCAGAGAAATGACAGAGAAAAGGGAAGAAAATGAGAGGAGAGACAAATCAAAGAGGGGGGATGGTCAGAAATAATCCAAGAAAGGTCAATACAAAGAAAATGTTGGGGCTCTAGTTTTACGTCTTCTCGAGAATGGTAAAATGTTGCCCCATTTTCCTGTTCTTAATCTGTGTGAATTGAGAGTGGGAGAAAATTGTGCTTTTAGAGTTATAAGGTGCGTAGGCAGATTTAGAAGGTTTACACATGGAGTCAGTAAGCTAACTTAAAAGATTATCACAGGTTTTGCTTTTGGAAGACTTTTCGGGGGGGAACCCAAAAATATATTCACAGTAAACATATAATAAAAAAGGCAATGGGTGTTTCCCTTCTTTTTCATGAAATGTATAAGTGCCTTTTCCTTTCTGGGAAAGAAGTGTTTCTATAGTATAAGTTGAAGCAATTCATCATATTCAGTAATGTCATAGTGGCTATAAGTACTCATTAGGATGTCTCCTTGAGAAAAGAAAGGGTGAAAATGGTAGTTTAGAGCAGGTCAAATGGTCTGTTGTTTAGATTTGGTGCATTGTATTATTCAGCGAATTTTTTTTTAATTTGAGAAAAAATGTTTGGCATCTTTTAAATATGTGGTTGAGAGTGGAGTGTATCCAGATGTTTTCTGAAATGCATGACTGGCTGTGCCACATCTGTTTGGGAGAACTAGTTTCTAACCCCAGATCTCCTGGGCAGGTGTTATTTGAAGGTCAGTATCTCTACTGATAAAATACAGGTAGCTTACAGTTGGCCACTACCTGTGACAGATGGAACCAGGGGTGCTGAGGAATGCCATCAATCATGCTATTATAAGCACTTAAGACTCTCTGGAGTGAGAGCAAACTGGCGGGTCAAGATCTGTTGTCCCATCTCTTTCCAGGATGTTACCATATCTGGAGATGAAGAGAATTGCATCTTTTGCCTGGCTGTGCCCAACACTAAAGCCTTCACCAGTAATAGCAACCATGCTGGTGGGATTTGTTGCTGGGGGAATTCTGTGTGCTGGGAGCTGGAGGGAGGCCACCAATCCATTTCACATACATTATTTCTCCAGGAAACACAGCATAATTGAGGACAATTTTCCACCATGAATTGCATCATTAGCTAACACAGGGAAAGTGAAATGCTGTTAACTTTTCTTTTCCTTCTGCAAAGCTGATGAGCTGAAGAAAACAGAAATAAAAAGTTTAATGTAATTTTTTTCTAAGGATATATGTTGAAAATCAGAATCAAAACACTTTTACACGGTAATAGAAATCCCACATTTTAATACATTGCCATGCACATAAGGAATCAAGTAATGCTGAATACAAAATAGTCAAATATACAAAATGATAAAGCAGATTTTCAAGCCTGATAGAGATCATGCTCACAGATACAAGGGGGCAAAAATCTGTACAATTTCACTTCTATCAATTTAAAAAGAATCATGCCCCCCAACTCTTTTTGACAACAAGCCAAAACAGAAAGAAACACTGTAAGAAAATATAAAGGAGACCCAGAGGGAATTGGCAAGTTGATAGCTGCGTAAGATATGGAAATCGTTGGTTCAAGATTGTGGTGCACAATAATTCTTATGTTTAGAGAAAAAAGTTTCTAAACATCATATGCCCTGGGAAACCAGGGAACCAAAGTGAACATCCAACAGAAAAGGCACTCTGATTTTACCATGTAACTTGCCTGAGTCCTCCTAAGTCTCATCCTGGGAGTTTTTCTAGGGTGCATAGAGAAAAAAAAAAAAAAAAAAAAACACGGTTGTGGGCAATGGATAAGGAAAATACTTATTTAATTAACCACTCTTAGGGGACTAAGAGAATTCAGACTGCTGGTTTAACTGCTCATTTAAGGAAGCTATAAAGATTTCTACCCTCTATGTAGACCTTTGTGTTATGAAATGTGCTTTTTATAGTCACGTTTGTTAGTGTTTGTAAAACTGTGAACCAGTTTTTTTTTTTTTTTTCATGAGACTTCCCCCTTTCACACCCTACTGGGAGGAGGGAATGGAAGATCCTACTAGTCTTCCATTTAATTTACATTGTGCGATTTTTCTTCTTTCTCCCTAGGACAAATGCTAATAGACAGTAGCTCATCAATGAGGTTTGAAGTTCGATGTGGCTCTTTGCTTCCTGTGACCTTCAATCTGTCAACTTTACACTTTGATTGGTCTCTTCCAACCTGGGGACTGGTAATCTCTTCCCTGCATTAAGCCAAAAGCTGAAGCTCTGTCCCTCGGCTAGGTTAACTCTAAACCTTTTGGAGGCAGAGAAGTGGAGACACATGGGGGCCTTGGCCATGGGCTCTGCAGATCAGTCCCTATATATTAGAAAAAGCTTGTGTGCATGCAAAATGCTGATTGTTACTTTCTTATCATTTTTTCTTTTCTTTTCTAATCCCAGAATGGACTCTCAGTAATACCAGCTACAAGGAGAAAGCATAAGGAGAAAGGGCTCACAATTAAAGCCCGGGTCACTATGGTAATTGCATATATATTAGCTGTATGGGACACCTTCTCCCTTTAGCTCATTTTAGCCTTCAGACAACCCTGTCTGCTAAGGTGAGACAGATGAGCAGAAGCCCAGAGAAATGGGCAATTTCTCTTAAATCCAAGTATTCTTGAATTCAAAACATCTTCTTCCCCTTTCTCAGAGCAATGCCAGATCCACAAAGTCCTAAAAATAACTCAAGTATATAAACCACAATAGATCAATATTTTCTTTTCTCAGGTACTTTTTACTGCTAATATGTAATTTTGTTACAATATTGATCTTTTCTAAAGTTTTGGGTACAGCTATTTAATTTAGTGGCTAATGATATTAAATAGTTGGATTAATTGGAACTACAGTAGTATAGTTTAACGACACAAGAGTTTTAGTGGAATTAGTTTCAAAACATTTGTGCTGGCTTGGCTTTTCAGCAGACTAGCTGCTTCTGTGCCAAGCATGACTGAGACTTACGGTGCAAAGTCAAGAGCCTAACATTATTCAGCTCTCTGCAATGTGAACTTCTTTCCCTAGCCAAGCCCTGGTCTCCTCAAACATGGCCTTGTAAGGATAGTGGTTTTCTATTGGTGGAGGAAAGGTAGTAGTGGACAAACCATTCAGGGCCCCAGAGAGCCTTCAAATTGCCTACCTGTGAGTTTAAGCAAATAGAAGCCCAACTACCTCCATTGGGGGCTGCCAATATTCACTGAAGAGGCTAATGCTTCTCTTCATGGTGACTGGAGAAGAGAGTTGCATTACAATGGAAAAGACTAAGCCTCCAGTGTTCAAACACGGAATGCATCATCCCTCCCTACCCCCTGCCCCCATTCTCTTTAAGGTTTCCTTGCTATAAACAGGGGGCCTGTTGATGTGAAAAAGAACCTGGTCACATACTCCAAATTTCTGCAGCTGGTGTGCGGGTCTTCTGCTGTATGGGAAACAGGAACTGTTCAAAGCTGCCAGAGAGTCAACTGGCAGCTCCCAATGCAAACACACTAAATGCAGTTGATGGTGGTCAATAAAAAATCCTGGAAATTTTATATATATATAATATATTTATATTTATATTTATATTTATATTTATATATATTATGTATGTATTTCAAATTGATTTAGGGGTGGCATAATCAAAGATCAGGGCACTGCTCAATTCAAATCATATTCTTGGAATTATGCATGAATAGGGGAATAACCCAGAGCTTCAAAAGGTCTCTTCATGGTACCTGTGCTATTTTAGGGAGAGGCCAGGCCAACTTCCTCTGCAGAATGGGAGAAGGCCACCATCAGTTTGCGGAGCAGAGCAACTACCAGACACGTGTATTTAATGGCAAGTATAAGTATTTCTTCAAAGTTATGTCACAAAATCACTTCCCCAACCGCAGGAGAAATAATGATCTAATGAGCATCTCTGGTTTTAGATTTTTTTTAAAGCGTAAAGCTCTTGAATACATTGTTATAGAATTTGGGGAGGATTGTATTTAAATACGATCACACAAAACAGATCTGTGTGTTCTTCCCTATCAACCCAGCTTAGAATTCCACATTCCATAGCTGCGTGTGTGCTAACATGGCAAAGCCACGGGTAAACAGCCTACTTATTTCCTTTGATCCAAATTATTGAAATTTAAAAGGTTATCACATTGCAGACAGCTGCAGCAGAGTCTTCAGTGTCTTCATTGTTTTACGTATTAGTATCTCCAGTCCAACTGGATTTACGTAACAGTCTACAGTCTCCTCGCCATTCATGTCAGCCGGGTGGTTTCTATCACTCTGCACTTGAGGCAAAAAGGCCTGGGTTTAAGAGCCTTTCTAAGGCTTCCGCAAATGTTTAAGGTTTGGAAACAACAACAGCAAGAAAACAAGCTGTTAAATCAATGAAACTCCTCAACCATTGGCTCCAAAATATGAAAAGAATATTGTATATCACAAAGAATCCATCTACAACACTTAACACTGTCAACCAGTTAACTGCAATTCTGTGCAAGTCATATGATGACTTTGAAATTTTATTAGGTGTATGTTGTTGGTGCCTTTTGGTGCTTGATGTAGTTGGAGAAGGGAGACTCTGAAGTAAGAATGGTTGGGGCTCTTCAAGATTGTAAATAACTCTCCAAGGTGCATGAAACTCCCATCTTACAAAGCCTTTACGTCCATTTTCTGCTGTTCTGTGGAAGTCATCTGTCAATCTTGGTGCTGTTGGGCAAGCAGTCTAAAACTGGCCCCATACTCACTGGCACTTCCCCCTTTACATTGATCTTAAAGGCGGATTTCATCCCAAAATGTTTCGATCTTAGAAATGGTGCTCCTCCCACCAGCACTCCTGCCCAGAATCTTCCCTGCAGGGCCAAGATAATGGCCAGAAGAAAACCAGTTTTGATATCATCCTTCCAGCCACGTTCTCACATGAGAATCTCCAGGGAAGGATCTATTTTGTTCTTTTTATTAAGGTGCAGCAGAACCTCCCTGTGCACATGGCCAACTTTTCCTCAAGCTTCTCACAGGTGATTAGCTTTCAAAAGAATGTTCCCTGTCTCCCCACTAGAGTAAGTCACCAGAGCAAAATAATGGAAATGTGGTCCTGCTTGACCTGCAAGATGTGCGGTGGTGCCAGAAATCGTGCACATTGATGAAGCAGAATTCATAAGACAGTTCTCTGGCTACAGGATTAGATGCAGATCTAAAGAAACAAAGAGGCAGGACCTGCTTGTCTTTGAAATAGAGTCCCCAGCTGTGCCCTGAGCAGAAGCATCTCCTGGTCTGTCCTTGCTCATAATCTCATAGGTTCTGTTTTGATTAGCAGCTTTGACCAGTCACTCCCTGGAGATGTGAATTCACGTCCACTGCTGTTTGGGCACCAAGCCTTCACCAAGACCAAGCAGAAGAAGGAATTATTAGTCAGTATTGGGGAAAAGGGGAAGCCTAAGTTGTTCTGTGTGAGTTCTTTAGAGAATACTCAAAATCTACCCAAGGAATTGTGTTAAAAGAAGAGATTAAAAGAAAAAAAAAAAGCAAGAAAGTGAGGTGGAGGGAGTTGTGGGAGAGGTGAATAAAAACAGCCTTTAAGGCATAAAAGAATTTATGTCATTTTCAAAGATTAGATTTTTAAAAAGAGTCTACTGCAGTTTTAAGTCTAGTTGTCAAGTAACAAAATTACTCTAAAGAATGTAGAGGAAAACATCACCAAGAATAAAGCTGCTAATGCACTGGGGAGTGGAGGTTTGGGTAAAGGGGGTCTTTTAAACTTTTCTTTGGAGAGACTTTTGCAGTTCCCATTCAAAATCAATCAGGTGACATTTGCAGACAAAGAAAGCATTTGCAAGTAACACTGGGTTCAATCCATTGGAGGTTTCTTTCCTTAGGTTATATTCTTCGGTAAGGTGGATATTCCTTTTCCCCTTGAGTGTTAAAAATGGCAGAATTCCCTCAGAACTAAGGACCATTAACCTCTTTCTGGGCAACTAGGAAGCGACTTTGGAGAGAACTCGGGGCTGCTTCTCCCATTCTGGAGATAGAAGTTCTGCGTGCAGTGACACGGCTCACCGATGCCGCGCAGGGGTCTGCAGGTGGCCGTCATCTGTAAGGAAGTTTGTAGGATCTCCGTCTCCTAAGGTATGTCTTAAACTACTGAAGTGGTTTGCTTTTCACCCTAGCAGAACCACTGATGCTTTGCATTTTAAATTCAATTCCCAAGCTGGAATGAACTAATCCCCTTGGCACCCCAGAGAGTCTGATAATTATTCATTTCTGTTCCTTCCCAAGAGTGTCTTTCCTGCGCAAGTGTGGGCGTCAGCTTTTCAATAAAAGGTGTCGCACAGGTTTAACTAAAAAGAAAAGTTACGCATCAATAGTTTATAGCCCTTAGACATCAAAATATTTATCCCTTACCTCCTGGACTCCCATGCCTACCAAACAAAACTCCCCACAGCCACTCCTGAACTTCTGGGAGGTAAAATCTCCAACGCACATCTTGGGAAGAAGGTACAGCACAGGAAGAAGTAATGACTGGAAATTGTGGCTCAACATGGAACAAAGAACCCAAAGGCTGCGAATGAAGTCGTTTCTCCATTTTGCTGGCTTAGCAAGTGACTGCTCAGATTTTATGCTTCCGTGTTCCCAAAACGATCCCCGCAAAAGATTTCAAAATGAGACTGACAGTTTGGAAAACAGTCGCAGTTCCTATGCAAATACATGGTACGCCAGGAATTAAGGCATTTATTGAGAAGCCATTTTCACCTGGGTTCTTTCATTGACTCCACTTATGCCTTTTCCCATCTCCACCCTTAGCCATTACCTTTTAATAGTTTGTCAGCACACTTTTGACTGGAAAGAAAAGCTAGGAAACTCTACTTATGTAATTGTTCAGGACATATTTTGCAAAATCCAAGGTAAGGATGAACCAGCATCACTTGATGACCACCTGCACCATAAGACATGTCCAGCTTTCCAAGGTTGTTAGCCATAAGTCTCCGAATGATCCTGAATTAATAAACCAGTTAATTCCCAGCTACAGTATCCCAGCAGCTGGCAGTTCTTTTGGATTCAGCAGGTCCTCTTCTGTGTCCCCAGGACTAAGTTTAGAATTGGGCTTTAGAGAATCCAGCATAATGATCAATGGTTGTGCCTACGTAAAGGATGGGAATACAGACAATCAGGGTAAGTATCAAGGAACAGAACTAAAAGCTGCTTTGGGGAAGCTCTAACCAGCAAAGTCCAGGCCCTGGAAGGGCTGGCTGTGCACAAGGATACAAATATGCGGCCGTGTGCTGTCTACTACCTCTTTCTCCAGTCTACTTCCTCAGGCAAAGGAGCTGCCTGCTGCCATGAGCATTTTCTGAGGTTGCTCTGGAAGGAGGGGTGCTGGCTGAATTCTGTTTTCATTGTGGAAAAGCTGGGACAGGGACCGTGTTTTGGAGGAGGAGATACTGTCTCAGAAGGTCATGGAGAGCCTGCCTTGTACCCTGTTGTTACCCCCAACACAATGTTTGGCACATAGTAGGTGCTCAACAAACATGTGCTGAATAAAGGAAAGAATGAAAGAAGGAGGAAGCCCTGCTGTTAGAAGTGAAATTCAAGAGGTGGGCAGTAGAGACTGGAATGTTCTCCCTGGGGGGCATTGGCAACAGGGTTTGGCCACCTAATTCTGGATTATGAAGAATTAGGGCCTGTGAGAGTCTGGTGGTCCTGGTGCTGACCCACTGAGAGGCCAGAACTTGGTGACTGAAACTCCTGAGTTCCCTCTCGGAAGCCCCCTTTTTTGGCAATACAGCCTGACAGGTTGTGGTGAGTCATCCTATAAGGTGACTCACCTGATTCACATTTGACTCCTTTCCCTTCCCCTGTCAGCTTTCCAAATCTCAGTGGGGTGGGGGTGGAGGGAGCACTTTCCAAAGTGCTGTGCATTTCCTGAGATCCCCGGGGGAGAGCAGACCATGAGTGGGTGCATGGAGACCCCCTAAAATGCCAAACTTCCTTGTGTTGGCAGGGTCCCAGGGCTGTTATATATATTTAAAGAAAAGTCTCCAGTGCCTATCAGTCCCTGACTGGGATTGTGGGTATACAGAACATATTTGCTGAATTTTTGATTCAGCCAAATTTATATTTTCAGGGGAAAAAAAGCTAAAGCATTACATAAGGTCAGTCAATATGGACATTTCTTTAATGCCCAAAGACAAGCAATAGCAATAAGTGGGTTGACCAGTTTCCCAGGACTGTGCTTTGCTGTAAGACATCGTAAAAAAAAAAAAAAAAAAAAATTAATTGTGGATATAATCCCAGAAAAGATTAAAAAGGGACTGGTAGGTTCTTTACTGAGGTAAGAACCTAATGTAGATTGGGTCCTTTTCCTTCTTTAGGCACGCAGGGGACACTTGCTGTTTTTCCTCTTTAGAGAGCTGTGACTTAAACTTGACGTAGAAAGTTTCCTCAAGTTGTAAAGTCAGACCACACAGGAAACCTGCATTCTGCTACCTTTATCCTCAACCTACGATGGTCTTTGATTAAACGGTCACCTCCTTTTTTTCTTGAAAACATTCTTCTATAGAAGGAGAGAATATATACACTGGCCACATACAAGCCTCTTGTGTTTATCTGTATGTGCATGTGCTAAGTTGTGTCTGGGTGCCATGAACCAAAAACTAAGATGTTTCAACCACCAGCCCACTTCTCCTTCCCTTTGGCGCTACAAGAAATCCAATTGGTTCAGTAAAGTGTCAACAGATTAAGCCTAACAGTATTGTGGCCATATATACACCAATCTACCACAAATGACTGGGATACGCTAGGAGTGGAGTTCGTCTTGGACAGTCTGAGCCAGAAAGAGGACAAGATTTATAAAAGAAAAGAGAGGATACTTGTTTTCCACATGTACGGAACGTGCCGATTTGTTTTGGTGTAGTTTTCTCATATAAAGTGCTTAAGAGTTGGACAGAATACCTTTAGACATCATAACTAACATAACCAAGACATGTTTACATTCCTACCAGGGCAGAGTATCATGAACACTTCCACTGACATTGCAGAACTGCTGTGATTTTTTTCTAACACATCATGCCATCTGCACACATAATAAAATAATCCAGTAGTTGCCATGCTAAAATAGGACTTCTAGTGAAGGGCACAGACAGCTCCCCAAAGGGAGCTTGAGTTATGCACAGTGATGAAAACTGGAAGCAATTTTCCAGCTAACGGTCTGCCAATGACCACTTGGAACAAGTTGGCACTGTATATTATGCACCTCATTTTAAAATCCACAGCAAACTAAGATTTTTCCAAAGTCATCATCTTGACTGAATGGGTGGTTTTGTTTTTTGTTTTTTGTTGTTTTTTCAGTTAATCTGGTTAATCTGTCAATGCTCCATGGATATCTTCTGGCAGGTGCCATGAGTTAGTCTTTCTGTGAGGAACAGGCCATGTTCATATCAACTGGCAGGACAGCAGCTTGGAAGGCTAACCACGTTTATGGAGAACCCTCGGTTGAGGCTGCAAGAGGAAAAGGGGGAAAAACGTGGTGAGTCATTTCTTTATGTCCCCAGATACTGGTATGAAGCAATTATCCTACTCAAACAAACTCTAATATCCTTTAGGTCAAAGAGAAAGCTCTAACAGATATAATAGTTACTCAACTGCAGGACAAATTTATGATGGCTCGTATTCTTGGAATGTCCTTCCGCCATTTGGCAGAGCATGGAAGACATCCGTCTCTGGGATAGGAGAAGTTGCCTGGAAGGCGGGGCAAATTCAGATCTCTGGAGCTGGCATTCATCCCTCGCTAGTCTGTGGTTTGGGAAACCATTGCATACATTACAGAACTTCATGCAGTTACCTGATCTGGAACAGGATCAGATTGGGAGTGGTGTGAAGGAGTGTGTGTGTGTGTGTGTGTGTGTGTGTGTGTGTGTTGTGGGGGGTGATAATGGTGGTTTTATTTATCAGGGGGCTTCCCTGGGATAAAACCTAGAAGGAAGCAGTATGGCTGGAGCTTCTGAGCTTGCTAGTTGGAAAGTGAGACTAGCTGAGCAGGTCAGAGAAGAGACAGAGAAAGTCATCAAAGTCTGACCAGAGAGGATGAACTACCTGCACTGACATCTTGCTTTTGACTTTGGGAATGCTGCTGCAGATATACCTTCCTGGGTTTTGTAATTTTTTATTTTATAATTTTCCTTTTATCTGAGTACTCCCTATAGTTCCTTATATGCAGTTCCTCATTTATTAATTAATATGGGAATGCCACAGAATGTCTTGTTCAGAAAAATATCAATATTAGCTTTATTTAATACACAAAATGTTTGGCCAATGGAAGAGAAAGATAGCAAGAATTCTTGATGTTAAAAAAAAGAAAAAAATGTACCCAGTTTTTAAGACTGGCTTTTCAAAATAATGAGAGAACACAAAATTTATAAGCACATGTTTGATTAAAACTCGATATTTGAGAAAATGCAAAAGAAAAAGTAAGGTACTATTTAAGCATACTAAATATAGAATAATACACACTACTGATAAGGTTGCAGTGAAAGTAGAATACTAATATATTGTTGATGGCATTGTAAACTGGAAAAACAATGTCAATTTATTTAAAAAACTATTAAAAATTCACATTCTTTGAGTCACTGTTCCCATTCAAGGGGTGTATCCTAAGGAAATAATCTCCAAAAATGATAGAAACTATATGCACAAATAGACAACCTCGGGGTTATTTATAATAGTGGAAAAATTGGGAAACAAGTCTCCCATTGTTGAAAATGCAGGTTAAGTAAATGATGGTGCATTAGCAGAATGGATGCTTAGATGGCTATTGAAGTAATAATTATGATGATTATGTGGCTGCATGGTAAACAGTTATGATATACTACACTATAAAACTTACACATATGCATAGAAAAGAACTCTAAGTGAAAGATGAAAATACTTTCATAAAAAAAAAGGATTTTTATTATTGTTGTCTTAAATACTTTGCAAAACAACAAAAATTAGGTTCACAAGAATGCAAATGTGACCCATGAACACTGACTAATGAGAGCATCCATACTCATAATAATACTACCTCAAAAATAACTACTTTGTAGTTTCATTAAGAGATAACACTCTAGGGGTGCCTGGGTGGTTCTGTTGGCTGGGCATCTGGCTCTTGATTTCGGCTTAGGTCATGATCTCATGATTTGTGGGTTCAAGCCCCACGTAGGGGTCTGTGCTGACAGTGCAGAGCCTGCCTGGGATTCTTTCTCTCTGTCTCTGCCCCTCCCCTGCTTGCATGTGCTTTCTTTCAAAATAAATAAATAAACATTAAAAATTTTTTAATGTTGAAGGGGGGAAATAGAAACTGACACGAATAGAAATCTTCTATCCAGGTCAACCTGTGAGAGAACAGGGTGGCCTAGAACAACCCCATGGATTGCTGGGAACCTGATACAGTATACCATCCTTTTGAGACTTCTGCTAAAATCCACTCTGCAGAAATGTGTGACCTTGGAAAAGTATTTTTATGAATAACCATAAAATAAAATTTAAAAGCGATTAAAGATAATAATGAATTCTAATTAATCACTGTACATTGAATCTTGAATCAAGAGGTTGATAACTAGGCTTATCCCAGTTGCTATTTTTCCAAATGATCATGCTTTCCAAGTGAACCTCTAAGAGCTGATAGAAAGCAGATGTGTCTAGTCTTAGGCTGTAGTAACCTTGTAAACATGAACATAAGCTGAGCCTATTGTAATTCAGCGCTCTTTCACCTGTGGTTCCTCAGCATAGGTAGGAATATCCCCATTTTATGGATAAGGAAATTGAGTCCCAGAGTATCATTTGCCCAAAGCCATACAGTTTGTGAGGATTGAATTTGTACTCAGATTTAGGTATGTCCCACTCTAGTGACATGCAGGAGTGACAGGGACATATATATAAAGTATAAATATTCAGAGCCTTTCCCGTTCTCTTTTCTCCTAAGTAGGATTCTGTGTTTATCTGCAAGCCCAGTCAGCACTACAAAGGGTTCTGATGGGCATGGAAGAAAATTGAAGATTTAATTTATCTTAGATGACAGGAAGAGCAGAGAGATACTCTTGTAAGACGCTGATACAGGCAGAAGTAGAGTTCACAAAGACACAAGTGAGGGTTTAGGAAGTGAGACAGAGGACTTAGATGGCAGTAGTGGAAATTGGGCCTGTGGCAAAGGGATGGCCAATGAGAAGAGCAAGCTATGGGGTAATGCCCCCTTGGCCATCTTTCCATGGAATCAGTAAAGAATTCATTGCTCTTTGATGCTTTTACAGTTAGTTGTTGTTCACTTGACTGTGTCACCACATTGAGCTGGGCTTTATGTGAGAGCAAGAGGCCCCTGTTTACTCAGGTTATATGTGAAAGGCCTAGGGCCAGGCTTGAATCACTGTTTTTCTCTCACAGATGTACGCTGATGGACTCTGCTGTCATCCCTTTGCCCGAGAGTTTTGTTACCTGCAAGTGGAATCATGTCTTCAGGTACAGAAAAGCTACCTGAGGTCAAAATGCAAAGTGGCAGTTTGTGATCTTCCAGATGGTGCTCTTTTTGGGTGCCGTCCCCTGGGCTTCAGCCATTCCAGATTCCTTCCAGCTCCTCATATACACTGAGTTGCTCAAGCCTTTGCTCAGCCTTTCCTCCTTCCTAGGATGCCTTCTTTGTATGCCCTCTGACATTAGTGAACACCTACCCCTCCATTTTCCAAGACCACCTTGTGGTCTTATGTCACATTCTTTACAAAGTCTTCTTTTCCCTTGATACGGCTGACAACTTCCTCCTATCAGCTAGTATGGCATCTGAAACCTTTACCGCCAAACCCACCATGAACACTTTAACGTATCCATCTTTCCTAAATTCCTTGAGGTTGGTATCATGGCTTTTTAGTGTGTGTCTCCCTAGTGCAAATTGCAGTGCCTGGTGTATAGAAAGTGCTTAAAGAATAGTAAAATTAATGAAGATATGAATGATGTTGGAGAAGAATTCTCTTCTCTTCTCTTCTCTTCTCTTCTCTTCCTTTCTTTTCAGTTTAATTCAATGCTTAATTTTACAGAAGATTAAATCCTGTAGCTCAGGTCTGAAGATGGAAAGGGGATTGCTCCGATTCCTTTCTTACCACCTAAGAACTAAAGCCACATGTACATGCCAGTGCTGGCTGCGTATGGATTTGCAACTAATATATAGCAAAGGGCTCTTTCTCAAATCTCTGTTTGAGGGTCAACATTACTGTTCAGGTATTCTGGGAACTAATCACCTCTTAAATCCAATGGCTCCAGAGTCTGGGATAAGTAGAGAAGCATTTGAGTCTAGTGATTAAGGGCATGGGCTCTGGAATTGAGCAGACCAGGGTTGACATCCCAGGCTTGCCACTTACCAGATATATGATGTTGAAAACATTAATTTCCCCAACCCTCAATTTCTTCACTTTTAAAATGGTGATCATAATCCACACCTTATTGGGTTGCTGGAATGATAAAATGGGCTCATAGAAAAACCCACTTTGCATGGTGTTTGGCAAATAGTAAATATCTGCTGAGTGATGGCTACTATTTATTATTATTATTACCACAAATTTCCCAAATTCCTTCAAGAAACAAGAAATACAAATTGGGTAAGGTTCCAATGCCACCACTGGAGGCCAGGAAAAAGAAACACCATGCCCAGGGGTCAAACCTTTGCACCCTCTAGGAGAAAGATAACACCCTTCTCGCCTGCCAAGGCCACAATCAACATACTCTGGTTTCTACTCTTCCCAGATTAGTGCAGACAATGACAGACAGCTCCGTGATAAGGAGATTTCACTTCAAAGGCAGGAAGGAGCCCAAGAGGCAACGGCCAGCCTGGCACAGGATTTAAAGAACGGATCTGGGACTTAGTGTGTCCAGCTCCACCTTTCCCTCTACGCCAGCAGCAAGGGGCTGATGGGATTAGTGGCTTTAGGGAAGAAGAAAAGATACTTTGTATAGGCGCCTTACCTCTCATGGGCTTAGGGAAAGAATAAGATAGTTTCTTAGAAGGGTTGTTTAAGGTTTTACATTCAAAAGGAAGAGCCAAACAAATAAAAGAGCCATATCCTCTACCTGAAAGTGTCTTTTATGTGGCTCATGTTTGAGGACTTTGCATTTTGATGTGGGGCTATTTAAGTCAGATGTGAGATGCACATTCCAAAGGAGTGAAATTCACGGTCTCCCCTCCATTATGGCAAATAATAAGCAGAACTAACATTTGTTGAGCAGCTATAACAAGCCAACAAAAGTTCTATAGGCAGTCACTCACTGGATTCTTACCACCATCTCTGAGGCCTGAATTGTATGATCTTCTTAAAATAGACCTGGAAAAAATGAGGCCAGTTTCATTAACTCCTCATAGTCATAACACTAGAAGGTCTGGGGTTGAGACTAGAACCCGGATCTGTTCTCACCCCAGTGCTTTCCTGACTCAACAAGAAACATGAGGGGGGACGCCTGGGTGATTCAGTCAGTTAATGTCTGAC